TCGAGGGACGTACAATGTTTGATTTTGTTTTTTTTTCGCACTTTAGGTGTGCTGTAAAGTGTAGCTTACGAAACTGTGATAGTACAGCCGTGGCCACATCTGTGTAGAGCACGCGAGCCGTCGGTTTCTTGCTCTGCGGCTCGAAACCTTGAGGGAGTATCGGGCTCTGACGCGGTCAGCCTGGCAACTAGACCATGCATGCTCCTCATACACCACTTCAGAGCCCGAAAGTACCTCAAGCTGTCGCGCCGCCGGGCGAAAAGGGGCTGCTCGCGGGCTCTACACAGACGTGGCCGCGACTGTACATTTCAATGCTTAGTCATATAGCTGAGCTTGATAATATCGTCTTTTAAATATTATATATTTCGGCCTTTCCTCCATTTTATGCTGAAAAGGCGACCATGAAGTTGTTTTCCGCAATCACTTAATTTTGACACCTTTTCCCCTTTTCTTTTAAATACATTTATTCAACGAAAATTAGTGCAGTGGACTTTTAAAAAAAAAAATGTGACGTTGGCGTTTCTATGTATTTGGATTGGTGCACCTCTCTATCGGCTTATGCGTTTCTTATCGAGCGCGTAAGCGGGGGCGCCTGTGCTAGCACTCGTACGGAAGTGTGCATGACGTATGTGGGTTGCTGGGTGGCATCTGCATCGATTTAGCTCGAAACGGAAGGAAGAAAAATGGAGTTACACCTTGTTTTATAAAAGGCTGACGTCAAAGCCTTTCTTTTTTCGGCCCCAAACTTTCACATTTTGCTTCGACCGCATATGTTGATTGTAACCCTTGCAGTGCGTGGAAATGGTGAGTGGGCTTGGCCGATCAATGTAATGGAGTTACTGCATGGTGTTCTCCATGCTGTACGTATAATTTTGCCTCATATTTTAAGTTTCTTGAAAAAGTAAGTACACCCGTTCGAAATTGTTCGTTACAGATATGAAAGAAAAGAAAGCCATAAAGGATAACCATAGCAGCTAATTTGTTTGCAACCCCCCACATGCGGGGAAGGTACCAATAAATAAATAAATAAATAAATAAATAAATAAATAAATAAATAAATAAATAAATAAATAAATAAATAAATAAATAAATAAATAAATAAATAAATAAATAAATTGAAGCGTCACAGTTTTGCCGCAAATGTGGAGCGATGAATCCGATATGAACAAATCGCATTGTTAACAAAGTAAGGCCGGCACTAACTCAATTAGGATCCCATCTCACGTAACTCTACGAAATGGTGACGTAATGGAATACGGCTGCTCCAGTGCGCGAAGTGGTTTCGTGCTGTCACTCGCCTTTTTTTGCCAAAATAAGCGATGAAAACATCACCTGAGGGTAGTCGCCATCGACTGATATCTCTCAAGAAACGTCGCCATTCCCGCAGCCCAGGCTGGTACACTTATAGCAGCTAGTAGCTCGCAAAATAGTAGATCCTACACTTATAGGTGAGAGCTAGCAGTCACATTCGAAGTGAAATGGCGCGAATAATACTGGCATTACACATGTCAGTCGTGGAGATGAATGTTTTCATACCGCCTTTCAATCCTTAAACATCGTACGTCTCCCTGCACATGTCTGAGAATAGCGAGTCTTACTTGTGGCCTATGCGTTGGAATGTTCGGGCTAAGGAGTAACGTTTGTGTACTGATGGGACACTCTTTGTTCGATATTCACGCAGTTACCAATGAAAATCAAAAGGAAGCTCGCACATACTTTATGCTAAAAATGCTTGTAATCTATGCAAACCTGCGTCACGGTTCTGCGCCTTATGCAACTCGTGGAATGTCAACGTCTTGTAGTCATTGAATTATTTCGATCAACAACTGCATAATCCGGTCAAGACACTTGCTTATATCAAACATTGTAATGTTGAGCGACATTATTTAATGAGTTTTATCCTTTTTACTAGCGCTCACTGGCTGAAACATTGTTTCAAGGCGTATCTATAACTGCGCAAAGTCGCTGACTCCATTACTCATTCAATAGCTCAGATCAGGTGGACACGCTCTTATCTGGTCTCGCGAGAGTGAACGGTCAAGAGTGGCCAACCACAGTGGATAGCTTCAGTCTTCTAACATTTAAATCAACTGATTACCTTGATTGAAATACTAAGACATTATTAAGAAACCTAGAGCACCTGCTGATTAAAAAAACTAAATTAAACTAATGTGATCGTGATGCTCAAAATTATATCAGCAATTACCGGCGAATGACAAGGTTCACTTATGAATAGAAAAAAAACTTCGTGAATCTGGTACATTCGCTGTTAGTTAAGGGGTACTGACTCAAACATCTTGGCTTTTGTCGCGTTCCACAGGACACAATAAAGTTATTTTTCATCCTTACTCTTGTTTTCTTTTTCTTGTGCTGCATTGTGTTGATGGGGCCTCTTAATCATAACATGACTCACAGTTTGCTGCAGTACGCGGCAGACAATTAATTGAAGGCTCCTCGTTACCAAACACTCTTAGTTTAGGTTTAAAAAGCTGCAAAAACAAGCCGCCGGGTGCAACTATCACGACCTAGTGAGTGCAACGCTCGATCACGTCAAAACACGCGGAGACGGAAAAGCAGTGTTGCCAAACACAAAGCTTTCAGCACGTCCGCCGCGGCAACGGACTGCTGAGCAGTCACCGAGTAGCAGTCTGCTGCAGCAAACGCGGCAAAAAAAAAAAGAAAAAATCATCTCTCCGAAGGGAACCCTGATGGGATGCGAAACAGCAGTGGTGCGTGCGCACGGCGTTGACCCTGTTGAAACGGCTTCGAGCGGGTGCTGGAAGAACGGTTTGAAGGGAAACTTGGTGTAGCGTTTACTCGAGTAAACGTTCGTTTGAAACGCAAAGACACGGATGGTGGGTAGGGTTTAGTGTAAGCTTCATGCAGATAAACGAGCCAACAGAGTGTTTCCACTCGACGTGCGGTCGAGTGTTGCGGGTGGTGGAAAGGGGGGAGTCAAAGGGATGTGTTGCAAGCGGGTGGAGGAGCCGGCAGCTGCGGGCCCTACGCCGAGCCTGATTCTGGTGCGGGGTAGAGTGACGTCAGTGCGCACGTGCGAGGGAAGCGTGCGGGAGGGGGATGTGACGTCAACTCGCAGATGTGGCGTGACCTACTTGGCACAGCTCCATTACTTGCGGCGAGGGGAACGCATGGCAGCGCGTTCGTTTGTACAGGCGCACGTGCGTAGGGCGTTACACAGGTAAGTCAAAGAGCTGCTTCAAATCTAAAAAAAGGGCTATGGCGTTTATCATAACTTCTACCATCGGGGTGACTTAAGTACAAATAGGGGGGGGGGGGCACCATGGGGTAATTTTAAGGGTGTCAGCACCACAAGGTGCTCCATCGCGCAAGCAAACTTTTCAAAATTCATGTAAAATACCTTCCAAGCTACATTCACCATTCACATTTTGCAGATAAGCATGTTCACGGAATTCGGGGCCACAGGCTATTCCGGCCACAAAATCTTGTCAGTACCCCTTTAAGGCGAAATCCTTATGTGACTCATCAGATGGTGGTCTTGCAAAACGCCACGTGTGGTACAAAAAGAGTAGTGACCTAAAAAAAAAGAAGCAAGATGAACCAGACATTATTAAAGACAGTCAAGCATTCTAGCACTGAGTGACGCCAGTGCTTGAGACCGTTTTTGGAAAAAGACCCTGTACAGTCATCATCGTAATGTTACGTGCCAGAGGCATAGAATCGCACCGGGCGTCATACGATGTGAATTTCGTAACCAGTGGGAGGTTGAAAGCTGCCAGCCCATCAAAAAGGGTCGAGCTATATTATTCACCATAATCAAGCACAGCATCAACAAAGGGTGCATCTACCCACGGGACCTCTCAAGCTCCGATGATGGTGATAATGAGGATGATAATGAAGTCATGCCAGATGTCTTTCACCTTGTAGTGCTCTTAGGCGTATGCGTAAGATACTCAATGTGGTTTTTCCTTAATCATTTTACCGCATGTTAGAAAAAAAAATCCCAAAAAATAGTGTGCGAACGCAAATAGGAGTTGTGACGTCGGGTGCAAGTATTATGTGTACGTCTGTACAACGAAGATTTACAATAACCAACAATACCACCGAAAATAACAAAACAAAGTCACAGGCACTTGAAATATGAACAAGCCACAGCCATAGCTAAAATACTTACTACAGTTTATGTATTCACCGATACATTCATTAAGGCTTCAAATTCAACATGCGTGCTTAATTTAAGGCATAAACCACCTGGTCACCACGTAAATATCGGCTCGGAATTGTACTCTTGTATCATTGCTTGCGGAAGATGTTGCACTTTGAATTTCATTTAGGCTTTTTTTTTTCTTTATCACAGTACACCGACGGACACATTTACGCAATGTCTAAACTTTTGGACGAGTTCGTGTACAGTTGTTATTAGGCTTGACCGGTGTCTCAAAATAGGCGGCTACAAGAAATTTCGGCTAAATAACAAATTGTATTATGTTGTGTAAAGTGTTGGCGGCTATAATAAATTTCGGGCGAAATAACAAATTGCATTATGTCGTGTAAGGTGTATGACTAAAATGCCAACACCATTTTTATGTGATAGATAGCTCCGAATGAAATGTCTTCTAATACACTTGAAGTCTACGAAGGGCAAGTTTTTTGTTTCCCTTGCTTATGAATGCCTCTTAAAAAACGCGTATAAAAATGGGCCGTGTAGATATATTACACAGTTATGCCACTCGACTGCTGACTTGCAGGTCGTGGGATAAAATTTCGGCTGCGGTGATCGCATTTACAGTGTAAGCGAAATTTCTTGAGGCCCGTGTGCTTAGATTTAGGTGCACTCTAAACAAAGCCATGTGGTGGGACTTTCTGAAGCCCTTCACTGCGGCGTCTCTCATAATCGTACCGTGCTTTTGGGATGTTAAACGTAATCAATTATTACTATTAACACGTATGAAGGAGCACACCAACAAAACAACAGCTATTTGCCCATTACTTCAGCGATGTAACAAAAACAAGGCGCATTGTGCACAGTGTCTGACGCTGTATTAGGCACAAATCGCACGTTAGAAGTTGTTTTCATTTGACGTGCTAATAAGTACACACTAATAATTTAAATTTACTTCCTGTCTTCTCATTTAAAATTAATTACGTTTATTCACCTAATTCTCTGTCCTAAGAGTCGACTGACTGAGGTATCTTGAAATGTCACTTGAAATTAATAACGAGGTGACAGGGCTAAGCACGTCTGAAAATCTCGTGAATACCGATCTACAACGCAGTCACTGTGAAAGTTCACTGCATCAACAGCTCACGTCATAGAGAATTGTTAATGCAATTCTTTTTACCACTGCATCAAAAAGAAAACCTAGAGAAACGTACGCAAATATTTGACTCGCAAAAATTGTCACCACTACAACGCGCCACGGATCTTGAGCACCCAGGCCCAAGGCGTCGGCAAGACATCTGGCGTGAGTGACGGGAAGGTTATAACAGTCAGACCCACGTTGTTCCAATTATCTGGCGTAGTCGCAGTGTATGGCGTGAAGTCATATCCGTCTAGGCCAAGCATGGAGACCGTAGCTCCCTTGCTGAGCGACAGGGACCCCAGGGGTAACTTGTTGTTTTTGGGCCACTGGAGCACGATCGCGTAGACGGTGTCGTTCTTGGACGTGTACCACACCCCCGGAGTGACGGTGTCGTTCTGGCTTTTCCAAGGCCGAGACCCGTAGATGGCCTCGCCGTTCACTTGTAGCCAGGTGCCCATCTGCGTGAGTCGTTCTTCGAACGCCGGGAGGATGACGCCGTCGCTAGTCGGTCCCACGTTGAGGAGGAAGTTCCCGTTGCAGCTGACCGTGGAGGCCAGTTCGGCGAGCAGCTCCTCGATGGTGTGGTAGTCGGTCAGCCTGGCGTTCCGGCGGTATCCCCACGACTCCTTGTCCACGGTCATAGCGTTCTCCCACTTGTGAACGACCAGGGTTCCCGGGTCGTAGTGGTCCTTGCAGTTGTAGAAGTCGCCGTGCTTGCACGGCGTTCCCTTACCCCACCGGTCGTTGACTAGCACAGTGTTCCTGACGGGACTGTCGTTGTACAGCCAGGCGAGGAAGAGCGTGCTGTTCCAGTACGTGTCCGGGGCCTCCCAGTCACCGTCCGACCAGATGATTTCAGGACGATACCTGCAATTTAGGGGGCGCAATGTCATTACGAAGAAAATGAGGGTGTGAATGATGAAAGGCTCATCGCTTATTTTGTATCATTGACCATATGAACCTATTAACGTTGAGGTGAATGTGCACCTTGCGGTATATTATGAACTCCTTTTTCACGTAGAGTCCCAGTCTTGCGATGATGACTGGTTTACTAGTCCTATTTGTTTGCCTGTGCTTAGTGACAATTTTTTTTTCGTCTGTAAGTTATCGGTGCATCCACCATGGCAGCCTCTATTGAAGAAGTGGTAGAAATATGCTATGAAAATACGCAATACGCATCAACCACGCGCGGATCAGAATGGTAACTTCGCTTGAAAATGCCAGCAAAGCTCGAATAAAAAGGGAAGGAATAAGTACAAGTGAACGGTGATAGCGAAAATGTAGCGTGGTTAAGTAGAGATAACACACTTCTTGGCTCTGTGTATTCAAGCGGCAGCCTTAAATTGCAGACTCTCAAAATGCGATCCATCAAGCTGTAATGCTGTGTGCATTCAGGATGGTAACATATCACAGAGAACAAATTATTATTCCTATGGAATCGTAGCTAGAAGAGCAAGAATAGCTGGCTCGTAGATACCAGCAACATCCCAATACACAAAGGTCATTAACTATGTGGCTAATTTTGAAGCATCCGTACATAACACCCACCTGTAGTGTTTCTAACCACACATCGGGCAGCCAGATGCTCAACGAGTAGCGACTACTACGGTTGTCTGCTCAGTATTTGCAAAGCATGACACCCGAAATCAGATGCATTTTGAGGTCTGGAACTTCTGACAGTTGTTTCTTGAACTGCGCTGCTATGACAGGTGCAGCGCCTTTCATAGATATTGTATGTAATTTTGCTACGGTCTTTTAGCCTACTCTGTTATTTATTCCGAAACATCAGTATAGTTGTGTAGAAGCATTCTAGAACCATGCTTACTAAATGCGAATGGGAGATAACTTCAGGGAAACAACAACAACAACAAAACGTGCTAGGACCATAGGTGTGCAGAAATTTCGGAGCACACCCAAACTCACTCAGAAAATACGTCTTTCGTCTTGGACTCAATCGAACTCAAACTCACCCAAATTTTCTTCAACCGCACCCACTCAGACTCAAGCTCACCAAATTATTACCACCAGGACTCACTCAGATTCTCGGCTTGATCTGAGTCTCAGTGAGTCCGTGTGTCCTAAAATTAGCTTGTTGGTACATGGTGTCAATTCTTTTTAAAACCGGTGCCTGCCGTATCGGTGTCTTTCTTGGGGCCTTTTGATATAGTACATTGGAAAACGAGTCATGAGTAGTTGCAAACGAGTAAGTACCTTTTTTCTTGGAACAGATGACAGCATTAGATAAATTTGTCAAGAACATTTCTCGATGAATTGGCTGGGGGAGGTAAATGAACCTGCTACGCAACTCACGCCTCTGATTAATAAATATTGAAACGGTGTATGAACAATACTGCTTGGGAAAATATACAAGTAAACGGGAGGAAAAACGTGAATCAAACTAAGGCTGACAGTAATGCTAAAGGTTTGTAGAACAGAAGTTCGAACAAGCAATGTTCGAAATGTCGCTCCTAGCGACATTTCACCTACATCGTCTCATGATAACGCTCTCAGTTCTATTATCGTGGCCAGGGAGGCTACAGTTATACCAAGCAAAGTTTGCGAGTGAAAGCGCATACTTAGAGTGATGTCGCGTGAACCACTGAACTCTTGATTACATTACGTTAAACATTCTATGTAGCGCTGACGAATGAGAAGTACTGAAGAGAGCAATGCAGAAAACGGGACGGAGAAAGATTGTGTACACGACACAAGCGCTTGTGTCGTGTGTTCATTCTTTCACCGTCCCGTCTTTTGCACTGTTCTCCTCAGTATCATGTACCAACTTGCCCTTCAAAAAACCCTTCTGCAAATTATAAGTATTTCCTCATTCTCGTCTGCCGCACATATAAAATTGCAGGAAGTGTCATGGGTGATAAAATAAATTATTCTCTGCAGGCTGCAGCCCCCGGTTCCTCTGCCTGATGGCCGGCCTAGACAGAACGCTAGCGAGATTATGTAAACGAACATTGAATGGCTAGGGGAAACGCCGAAACAAGTACACACGGTGTGAAACTCCATATGGGGAGTGCCCATTTGCGTAAAGTCAACAGATAGAGCCCTCAAGAAAGAGTCGCCAGACTTTATCGGACTGCAGCTGTTATCGTGACCTATAGAAGCTAGACCTCTTACATCTTATTACAGTTGGTATTCTTTTTTCTTGTCCTGAAGTTACCGCATTTATAGTAGAGCTTGATTACTGTTAATCATCATGATGATGCATGGGGCCTTTCTGGCTACAAGCTAATCACGTGCACACACTTGAAGATGGGGAGCCAAAAGTTGGATGCAGAAAGAGGTCACTACATTATCACTAGCGGCCGTTAAACGTGTGTGCTCGTTAGCCGTGGTAATATCGCAACAAATATAAAAAAAACGTTAACCGTGCTTGGTGTTCCTCCTTTCTAAAGATTGACTCAAGAATAGCCTCTGGTAAGACTTCAAATAATTTTATAAACACAATTTTCATATGTAACAAAACACTTCCAGGAACATTTGCGGCTGTGAAGATGCATAAAAATAAGTTGAAAATCCAATCAGGAAATTGCAAATAAAATAATATTTTAAGAATATATATAAATGAAAGCTTGCAGTCCACACGATCACAAGTTCTGTATACAAACTTTCTCGTTAAAAACGAGATAAAGATGTTTATGGAGCCCGTGGTGTCGTATCTAACAGAGATACTGAGCTTGAACAAGCAATGCATTTTAACGTTTGAAGTGTAAAGGTGAACAGAATCCCCTGTAGTAGCTTAACAGGTAAGGTCTAGCGCTATTGAACTCGAGAACACGATTTCAATTCCAGACCATAGCGACCTCATTCAGATAGGAGCTAAGTGCAAAACTACCTTGTACTTGGACTCATGCACATGTTGAAATTCTCAGGGAGTTGATATTAGCACAGAGTTCCCCATGACGTCATGCCTCCTTATGACGTCGTCGTTGCTTTAGAAAGTGATACACCAGAACTAACTTTGCAAAAGGTTATTACTTGAAACAATTGCGAGTAACGCAGAAAGGGCTAAGTAAGACAAGGAAGAGTGCGCAGGATCATCCCGTGAATCTCCAGGTGTGGTGCGTGGACTTACTTGGTGACTATTTCGACGAGCTCCGGCATCGTCTTGCGGGCGACGAAGTTGTTCGTCTTGAAACCAGCCGCCTTGTCTGCCAGGTAGAGCGGGTTGAACCACTCGTAGAGTGAGTGGTATAGGCCAAAGTGGATGCCTCCTTTCTTCCGCACGGCCTGCGCCAGGTCCCCCACCAAGTCGCGGCGGGGGCCAACGTCTCCCGCGTTCCAGTTCCACGACACCGCGGAGGGCCACAGAGTGAAGCCTTCGTGGTGCTTGCTGGTCAGTACTACGTAACGGGCACCCGCCTTCTTGAAAATCGCCGCCCAGTGGTCCGGGTCGAAAAACTCGGCCTTGAACTGTGGAGCAAAGTCCTGGTAGGTGAAACCGGGCCGGTAGTTGCGCTCCATGAACTCGCGGAACGCCGGTACCTTTGCCCCCTGCCAATCCCACCAGAACCACTCGCTGCCAAAGCTGGGCACGGAGAAGACGCCCCAGTGCAGGAAAATGCCGATCTTGGCATCGTCGTACCAGTCCGGGGTTGGTCTAGTGTCCAGGGAGTCCCAGTCCGGCGAGTAACGACCCGTTGATGGTGCTGCCAAGGCTACGAGTAAAAGACATCCTACGCCCAGAACTGTAAATGGACTCATAATTCACGGTTAAGACGCAGTTGTAGCTATATGCGCGGTCCTCGATGAACGCCCACTCTCGAAATAAAGCAGAGCACAGGATGGCACTTTCCTGTAGCAAAACGGAAGCACACTGGCGTACTGGCTTGAAGACGCGAGCAACACCAAATGAACGCAGAGTGCGACACAACCAGCAAGCAAGCTGACGATGTTAGCGTCCCGATTGACGCCTTCCGCACTCGAGTTTCCTTATCTGAGCCTCTGCGCTTGTGCAGTCTGCGAATGGGAGAGAGTTCCCAGATAGGGCGACATCAGCCGTAGAGGTCTGGTGGCGATTGTGATTTCGCTTCGCTCTTCTTTTTTTCCCTGTCCACTGCTCCCAGATAAACAACTCTTGGACACACGAGAAGAGTTTTCGGTTTATTTTGTGAGAACACTGACGGCCACTCGGCAGTCTGGTTTTTCTGTTAGATTATTCCACTGTTCTGCCCAAGTGACAAAGGCCCGCATAAACTTGTTGCTGCAGTATGTGGACCAAAGCTACACGTCACGGCTAGTCGTTTCAATTAGCGAGAACGAAAACCTGCGCAATGAAAACTTAAGCTAAGCACTTCGCAACGTATTTATCAAAGAAATCACCGGTTTTAATTGCCTCTACGAACGGGCGTTAACGCGTTGACAAGGCTGGCTAAAGGTTTTCTGGCGTGTAAAAGTTCGTACTCTTCGGCAGTTAATAACATTTAGTTAGGAACGAACCGAACATTATGTGTTTGTCATGTCGGTTTTCTTTTACAGAAAAAAAAATCACGGCACAATAGGTGGTCAAACATTGACACAGCGCAAATGATTTAGATTCGCCATCCCGGCGTTGTCTCGCAGTGGTGGTCTAGTGGCTAAGCTACTCAACTGCTGACCCGCAGGTCGTGGGATTCAATCCCAGCTGCAGCAGTTGCATTTTTGATGGAGGCGAAAAAGCTGTAGGCCCGTGTGCTCATATTTGGGCACACGTTAAAGAAACCCAGGTGGTCGAAATTTGTGGAGCCCTCCACTACGGTGTCTTTCATAATCATATGGTGGTTTTGAGACGTTCAACTCCGCACATTAATCAATCATTCCGGCGTTTCCAGCAAAACGGCACTTGGGCAGTTCAACGTGATATCGTGAAAAAAACCCGTGCCTCTAAGATTATAAGCTCGAAGTATCACCCAAGCGGACAGCGAGGCAGGGCTGTGTGACTACAAAGGCGTTGCTGTATTAACACAACCTTCATCTACGCTGGCGCCAGCAGACTGCACGGCAATCGTTACACTATTATTGCAGTGAGCTGACCTGTATACATCCTTGACGGCATCGATAAAATCCCACCAGTCAGTACGTCCAAAACTGTGGCGGTCGCTTTCGCGATAAGATTAGCAGAACAGAAAGGGGACTCGACTGTCGTGTTCATGGACTCTCAATCTGTTTGCCGTGTGTTTCGAGCTGGGACGATGGCGAGGTAAACATTGATAATCCAATGAAACTAATTATTAAATCCCCATTCCCTAATTACGTACGGCACGCTTGCTGGACTTGAGCGGGACGAAAGGCGATCCGGCCTAGCAACTGAGTACCGGATGCTCAAAATTCGGGAGTACATGGACTGCTACAACATCATGAAAGGCAGAGAGCGTGGGCGGAAAGTGTTTTTTAAGAAGCGGGGAAGCCTCGCCAATAGGCGCACAAAAGACGTTCAAGTTCGCTGTCAAGTTTAGCACCGCCTTACGTCAATGCACATTAAAAGAATGTTACTTAAATAGGTGACGGAAAATCGGTTCTAAAAAAAATTGGTAATTTCACGTGCATTGATGAAACCAATGTTAGGAAGAATTAGCGACTTGGAAGCTGTAAACTTGATCTTGCTATACAATGAATAAAACATTTATAAAAATTAGGTACACATACGTATTGGCTTATGCAAACATGCATCAATACATCAACAGAAATACTAACAAAAAAATTAAAATACGTACGCAGAAACAACCTATCAAGAAGAAAAATGAATAATGAATGAGTGGCGCGTCGGCTGTCAACTGCCACAAAATTGTGAAGAACTGTCAAAACCCTGTCAGGTGCTAGTCTAAGTACTTACTGCGTCCTTTCCAGCACAGTTGAACAGAAACCCCCGCATTATTTTTACAGTGAAAGCTGTTATGAGATCACAACTCGAGTCACGCGCAGTTGTCCGCCGCCGCCATTGCCGCCGCCGATGTCCGTAACCACATCGCGCGAAATTAGATAAAAAGAAAAAAAAAACCTAGCACTGAAGACACAGTGGGGCTGAAACCTGGGTCTGCTGGGTGCCAGCCCAGTACTCTACCACTTAGGTACGCCTGTGCATGTGGCTTGTTGGCAAACCTAGCACCAAAGACACACTGGCTCTCGAACCCGGGTCCGCTGGGTGCCAGCCTCAGTATTCTACCACTGAACTACACTGAAAAAAAAACACCTGTAGTACTAAAGACAAAGTGGGGCTCGAAACCCGGGTCGGCTGGCTGCAAGCCCAGTACTCTACCACTGAGGTACGCCTGTGCATGTGACTTGTTGGCAAACCTAGCACCAAAGACACACTGGCTCTCGAACCCGAGTCCGCTGGGTGCCAGCCCCAGTATTCTACCACTGAGCTACACTGAAAAAAAAAAACACCTGTAGTACTAAAGACAAAGTGGGGCTCGAAACCCGGGTCGGCTGGGTGCAAGCCCAGTACTCTACCACTGAGGTACACCTGTGCATGAGCCTAGCACCAAAGACACACTGGCGCTCAAACCCGGGTCCACTGGGTGCCAGCCCCAGTATTCCACCACTGAGCTACGCTGGTGCTTTTTTTAATGCATGGAAATAACGCAATCAAATAATGTGATGTATAGCTATTCAATGAATCGTTTCAAATATACGCTCACGTGCACACATGCACAAAACACAATTACATTCAGTACAACGAATCTTCAAAAGTCTGGTAAACAAACACACATATCCAGAAGTCGATCCCACTCCGGAACGGGGCCGAAAGTCTCTACAACGCTAGGCACATTGGCTGCCTCTTCTAGAAAAACAGACTTGGTCGAGCGAGTTAGCTCAGCATGTCTGTCAATCCTGCGGCTCCTCCATAATGAAAAAAAGCCCAATAACATATTTCAATCGTATAGAACATTATTCTTAAGGGTCTTTTTGAATTGTAGGAACCTAACACCATGAGCTATAATAGGAAATTCTTTTTTGATGGTTCTCTTAACAATGTCGTAGAAATGACACGCATGGTGCTTGTGACTTGTTGACAAACATGCCTTAGGCAGGCTTGGTGTCGGGAAAGCAATCGCGTTAATGCGACTTATAAAGCGTTTTAGAATAGCGAAATAACAAGCAGTCGTCGCACAATGCATATAGCGTAGCGAGCGGGCCGTCCACCGATCCAACCCATTACAAAAGCTTGTTTTTGTTCCCCCTGTGGCGCATACCCACTTCAGCCATCATTTCTCACCGTCGTCAGCCACTGCATGAACAATTGGTACGAAATTCCTTGCGAGTGTTTAGCGGATACCACGCTTCTCAGAAGAATGACGAAGAATAGCATAGTGAATGCCAGCCTTCTACCCAAAAGTTTATTATTAATGCCCTAGTGGGTATGAAGCAAGTGTGCTTGCAGTAGTTACCCAATGAGTGTTTTCAAAAGGCTCTGAAAGGCCGCTCTTCTTGCTTTCGCTGTGCCTGTGCTGCGTATAGCGCGCTGGCCTGGCGTTTTTTTTTCACTCCAACACTCATTCACTGGCACATTCAGGTTACCATTCTTACTCTGAAAATTTTCCAATGAACATATACATAGTGAGAGAGGTACTTTCATCCGCTATACCGAAAGTATCCGACAACATTACTACTGCGATTGTGGCCACCGATTCCGGCACTTCGAAAGACATTGAGAATGAGGAGGATGCAAACATTTTTCTTGGCGTGAAAAGAGAAACGAGTAGGGGTTTCATGTTCCGGTACTGCTTTGACGCCTTCAACAATATTCCGTACCCATTGAATGAGAACTCGGCAGACCTCAGAGGTTTGTTGGTCACTCAACCAGCACGCAAGTCTGTCGGGAGATTCACCGCTTTTCTTACGATACGCTTCCGATAGAATAGCTGCGTTTTCATTAGTTTGCATGGGCTTTGTGTGCTCGCTTAGAACATCGCTCTTCAGTTAGTAAATGTAACTTCAGGTGTCAACCCTGTAAATGTCAGTATCAGAATGTTAAAAAAAAGAACGATTAAACAGGTCTTTCATAGTGGCCAAGTGTATGATGTCGAGGCACACAAATGTAGCTGATTTGGTGAAGTAGTGCTGAAACACTTCGAGCACAAGCGCGAACATCACCTCAAGCGAGTGATCGAGAGTCTGCTTAGCTTCCGAAGCAAAGCACGACCCTAGGTTATTGTTCGCAAAGCATGACATTGAATAATCTCTAAGTTTAGTCCAAGGACATCTTTAGACTTGGCTCATAATTTTAGCCAGCAACACGAAGTTGTTTATGTGAAGTGTTTGCTGACAGAAATATCTATCAATTTCTCTGACGAGTGGTTTGCCCCCTCTGATAGTTGCCCCCTCTGACGGGCTATTTCCTCTTCAAGCACGCTTCACTTCCGCGACAAGCATCGCCTTACTTTACCGTAATCTCACAAGGATCCTTTCTATGCGTTTAAGGGGCATACAGCAAAGGGGGAGCAGCTTAGAAGTGTGACCTCTATGACGTCACCCACACACACACCTTTCTTTGTACGCACAGTGTCGATGGGCTCAAAGAAGTCTATCACAACTGGAATTTAATCAGGACGCCACGGCGACGGCGACAGCAATGTTGAAAATGTACCTGGAACAATAAGCCGAACAGTGAGGGGGTAAACGCAGTTTTTGCGTCTAATTAGGGTGTGTTGAAACCGCTTCAGAACCGATGGTGCTTGAGGCACTACAACAGACATTTTCGTAAAGGCTCTTGTCCTAATGCTTGTAAGGAAGTTTACGCGTTTCATTTCACGTAGGCCTGTCGCAAACGCGCTACACAAGACTGTAGAATAATAGAGAGACATGTTTGGGCGAAAATATTGCAGACACAATGCTATAATTTTCGAGGGTACACTGCTGTTGATTGCATGGCTTTTTTTTAAAAAAACCAGTTTGGTTATTTGATATGTATGCTGGCTTGAATGGAAAGGTTGTAGACGACCCGTTTAGAGTATATATCCATCCATGTTATCACTTTA